CTCTCTCTCTCTCTCTCTCTCTCTCTCTCTCTCTCTCTCTCTCTCTCTCTCTCCTCTCTCTCTCTCTCTCTCTCTCTCTCTCTTCTCTCTCTATATATATATATATATATATAATATATTATATATATATAATATATATATATATATATATATATATCCCCTTCCCCCCCCCTCTTTTTTCTTTCTCTCTCCCTCTTTTTATGTTTACTAACTTGTGAGGAAGTGCATTACCTTAAAATTTGAATGCTTCTAGTTTGTTTGTAAGTAGGCTGTATAGGCTTAATGTGGAGTTAAAGGTCACGTTTTAGAAATGAAATTAGTATCCTTGGATTTAAAATGTATTATTAATTATCATTTCTCTTGTTGATTATTATATTTCTCTTCTTCTCCTTATTTGCCAACAGAAGCGCCATACAATCACCGCCGACCCCTTTTTATAACATGCCTCTCTTATCTACACGTATTAGCTTCCCCTCGACCCAAACTTTTAATTACGCCACTGATCCCCGCGGCCGATAAAGAAAAAAGATAATTTCGGCCCTTAAATTAGCCCATTAATACCTGTTCTCCGCATCACCTTATCCGGACATCTTACCCGGATGGCCGGTTATCGCGCCACTCGACCGACGACAATCAAATAGATCAACTTTCTCCCTTTTTTTTCTTCCTTTTTTTTCAAATACCTCTACACCGTCCGCGTCTGGTGCTTGAGGTAATCACTATGTTAGAGGTATTTTGTAGTTGGTATAGGGTTCAGGTGGGTAGGTCGAGGCAGCCGGCGGACGTCCGGAGATGAGGGAGAAGAAGAGAGCAAAAAAAGCATACACATCATGCGCGCAACCGGCAAACCGCGAGGAGCACTTGGTCCGGGCGGCGTGCTGTTGTCTTTGCTCATGAAGCTGGAAAAAAAGTCGGTGGATGCTTTTAACGTTGGGGAAGAGTACTGGTTTTCCATGAGGAGTGAGGGATCTGGGTCCTTGGGGAGGCTTAGAGGGGAGGGAGGGGAAGCGAGGGGAGAGAGGTGAGGGAGGGGAAGGCCATCTAGCTGTCATGAAGACCGAGTGAGCAGTTGTGCTCATAATGGCTAACATTATTTATTATTAGTGTTTTGTTTTAGGTTTTAGGTCTTTTTGTTCATTTTTGATGCAAGTTGGCGTGAGCTTCTTCTAAGCTTTTAGAACTCATTTGTCTTCCAAGGGATTATCACTAATTGCACTTGTTGTCAGCGAAGGTTGACTGTAACATAAAACAGAGAAGAACAAAGGCTCGAGTTCCCCGGTGTAACAGACCCGAAAAATAATATCTCATGAAAAAACGAGAAGGAATTTATAATGAGGCAATCGTGCGACGAAAGGGGAGTCCAAACAGGTATCCGCAGAGTACGAGTCCCACCCGCTCAAAGAGATTTGGATCCGCAGTACCGAATCAGAGTACCGCAGTCGTATTATACGAGGAGTTCTCAAGAGCCCAGTGGAAGTACGAGTCCCCGCTCTCGAGACTCCCGCAGAGTACGAGTCCTACCCGCTCTCAGAGACTCGTATCCGCAGAGTACGAGTCCTACCCGCTCTCAGAGACTCGTATCCGCAGAGTACGAGTCCACCCGCTCTCAAAGACTTGATCCTACGCAGACGAGTCCTACCCCGCTCTCAGAGACTCGGACCTCAAGGAGCCTCAGAGTACCGAGTCCCACCCGCTCTCAGAGAGCTCGTATCGCAGAGCACGAGTCCTACCCGCTCTCAGAGACTCGTATCCGCAGAGTACGAGTCCCTACCCGCTCTCAGAGACTCGTATCCGCAGAGTACGAGTCCTACCCGCTCTCCTCTCAGAGACTACCGCTCTCAGCTCCCGCAGAGTTACCGAGTCCTACCCGCTCTCAGAGACTCGGTTCCCAGAGACTCGTCAGAGTCCTACCCGCTCTCAGAGACTCGTATCCGCAGAGTACGAGTCCTACCCGCTCTCAGAGACTCGTATCCGCAAGAGCACGAGTCCTACCCGCTCTCAGAGACTCGGAGCTCAGTATGAGTCACCCCGCTCTCAGAGACTTCGATCCCGCCAGAGTACGAGTTCCTACCCGTCCTCAGAGACTCTATGCCGCAGAGCACGAGTCCCACCCGCTCAAAGAGATTTGGATCCGCAGTACGAGTCCTACCCGCTCTCAGAGACTCGGAGCCTCAGAGTATGAGTCCTACCCGCTCTCAGAGACTCGTATCCGCAGAGTATGAGTCCTACCCGCTCTCAGAGACTCGTATCCGCAGAGAGTCCTACCGCTCTCAGTACGTATCCGCGCACGAGTCCTACCCCCTCGGAGACTCGTATTCCGCAGATATTATTGTACCCGCCTCAGAGTACGAGTCCGACCCGCTCTCAGAGACTCGGAACCTCAGAGTACGAGTCCTACCCGCTCTCGGAGACTCGTATCCGCAGAGTACGAATCCTACCCGCTCTACTCGCTGAACTCGTCGGTCTCGCAACTCGGGAATGCCGATCCGGGAGTCGAGAGCCGAGCCGAGGCTTTTCAGATGCTGATTCGTTCAACTGGAAAATTGGTATCAGAATCCCTCTAAGGCTTTTGTCACGGGCCAAAGTGATTCAAGAAACGAGATAAGCATGACGGATGGCCCTGTGATTGGGGCTGCACCTGGAGAGGGCGCCTGGCCCCGGCTCAGGGCGCTTTCTTCTCGCTGCGTCCGTCTGTGTGTGTTGCTGTGAGATGTTTAACGTGTTGTCATTGTCAATTTTTTTGCCTTCTTGTGCTGGTGCTGGATATTGTTTAGTCATATAATTTTTGATGAAAAAATGTGATTCTCTCTCTCTCTCTCTCTCTCTCTCTCTCTCTCTCTCTCTCTTCTCTCTCTCTCTTCTCTCCTCTCCTCTCTCTCCTCTCCCTCTCTCTTTCACTGTCTTTTATTTGACAATTTCGCATTGACTTTCTTAATTAAAAACCTTCAAATATTTCCAAATAGTTAAAAACTGATAAAGTGGACAATTGATCATTGCTGCCCCTGACCACTATGCCAGCCGACAATGAAGAACGAAACATCCATATCACTCAATAATGAAAGGTATAAAAAAACCTTCCCATTACGAACACACGGAGGCTATTGTCGTCCGGCCGGAGAGCGCAGGGAGTGATCCACGGCGCCTCGTTCCTCGCCGGCTCGAGCGGGGCGGGAATCCCGAGGCGCCGTCGGGTGGGCCACCGGCGTTCCGAGGCGGATGGTGTTGATTGCTGTAGTTCAGTTGTCTTTTGGGGATTTATTTTTGGGGGATTCTGGTCTTAAAGGTGACTTGGTTATGTTGATGAGCGGAAAGTAGCTATGTGAAGAAAACAAAAAGTCCGTCCTCATCAGCAGCCTCCGTCCTAGCGCAACACTTGGCGGAGCGCGCCCCAACTATACGTCTTGATCCTCAGACTGAGACTAGATTAGATCCGAGCTTTTAATGCATCTTGTCCGATTTGTGGTAGCCGATCTGGGAGACAAGAATGGCAGAGCGCCCCCTCAGAGTAGCTCCGCCGTAATGCATGTGCTTACGCTATAAGAAGAGAGACACACTCAGCCAGACGAAGAGATGAAGAGAATGAGAGAAGCAGTAGGATGACAGAGATTGGTTATTAGTTTGCGAGATGGGTTAATTTCAGCCCGGATGACCGCCAGTATAACGTGAGAAAGGATATCTGCACCCAGGAACCGCAGTTGTTCTAATTGAGGTCTAGGTGGACGTCACCAGCATCACTCTGTTCTATCCTATATAGTGAGAAAAGAGAGCCAATTCCCGCATACTTTACTGTGATTATGGACACTAGCGAGAAAATAGGGTAAGCGCTCCAACGTAGAGTAGGTGATATGTGAGTGTTGGTAATTCGATTCCAAAAGTGGGAGGAGGAGCTTAAACTGCTAAGAAAGCGATATTCCTTCATTCCATTGTGCATGGAGGTACCACACCCAGTCGAAGGAGGTACTTAGTCCCCACACGAAGCCGGATGTAGTCAGCGCACGAAGAGAAAGTGCACAAGGGCAGCGACGTTTAGAAGAAACCGAGGCAAAAGCCAAGCGAACTTCGAGGAAACGTGAGGAGGAGGAGAGGAGGATCCTCCAAATGAGAAAAGGAGCCTCTTGAGAAGCGAGGGAGCATGAGCGAGTGAGGGAAATAGAATGAAACTGCGACCTAGTAAAGTACGGATAAGTATCTACGCCCGAATGTCATAGGGCGACGCGAGACAGGATGAGGTCCACGGGCGCCTTCCGAGCCAGGGCCAGACTCACCGGTGTCTAAATGCCACTGAAGTGACGAAACATGAGATGAATATATTAATGAAGATACGCAATCCCTGGTTAATCTCTAGTCAAATTTATAAGATCGGTAACTGCTGACCGCCCGCTCCACGACCGTCTCCCATGGAGGGCGCAATGTTCTCTACCCCGATATTGCTGCTGGCGTTCGGCGGGTCCAGTTACGCACGCATAGCGCTCGAGCCCGACTTACGCAGACGCCACAAAACCACGGGAAAATAACGTTCTCGTCTTGGGTCTTTCCGCGAACCAATCCCGGAGGTCGGAGGGTCAGCGCGTGGCGCGATCCTGTCAGCAACTCATTTCTTCCTTGCGGGAGGAGGGAGGAGGGAGTCGAATTAGGCGCAGGTTCGAGTGGAATTCAGCTGGCTAGTCACGAGGCCCCGATTCCCAAATCATCTTTTTTTGTCACACTTTGTTTACAACTAGCAGGTGTCAGAGCAGCCAATTTAAGATACAATTGGTTTCTTTTCTTGCAGAGAAAATGTGGTTTAGTTTCCTGATATACAGTGTGTAATATACTGTAGTATAGGTAATTAGGTAGAACCTGAAACTTTTAGATAGTTAGGACCGATGTGTTTAAAGTATATGAAGTGCTTATTAGATATTCATTTCAACACTGTGTATCACAAGTCCCTATAAGGAGCAAGCCCCCTTTATCCCGAGAGCAAAGCATTCTTCTTCCCTTGACTAACCAACACTTTTCTTTCCCCGGCAGGCATGAACGTGGCGGTGTCCCTGGGTCGTCGTGGGTGCTGGTGAAGGCGGTGTCGTCAGGCTCACACACCATGGGGGTCGTGGGCCTCCTCAACCTGCTCCTGACGGCCGTGGTCGTCCTCCTCTGCCTCGCCACGCCGGCGGTCACTAGGCTCGTCGGCTCTTGGATGTGAGTAGCTGTTCCTCGACGGGTTGGGGCCTCCTGAAGGGCGTGGTGAGCGAGGCTCCTCCGTGGGCGTGCGAGATGTGAAGCCTCTCTTTAGGAGCGGACGGTAGTGTGAGCCTCGTTTAGGTGTTCTTGATGGCGTGGCCTTTTGATAGGAGTATTTCAGGGCTGATCTGCACCTTCGTCGGCCATAAAGCGGTCTTCCCATCTCGGAGCAAGTTGACCGCTTTTGAATGCACGAGGCCAGGGGGGGTTTATGGGAAAGTAATGGTGCCATTCCTGTACCTTATTGGGACTGTAATTATAATATGATTGAAGATTACTGGCGTGTGTATGTGTGTGTGTGTGTGCGAGAGAGGGAGAGAGAAAGAGGGTAAAATATTTTGTACGCTTCACGATGATACAAGTTTATGAGGATGAAGTATCACGACTCTGCAATCTATCCAACTCTGACGGACAGCAGCTGACGATGCCGCCGTAAAGCAATGACCTTATTGTAGTGTTTAGTTTATTGTCGTTAATTAAACTTTGTAAGAAGTAAGCATTAACTTCAGCCTGGGCAAAAAAATACAGGTAGTTACAGCCCAAAAGACAGTATCAAATTAATATTACTTATACACCCCTCCCCCACACACAGATATCCAATATTTTACTTTTGAAATAGATAATTGACAATTGATAGATACAAGTTCCCTTACTGGGGGAAAGGACACTTAAGATATTAAGGAAACAAGATAAGGGAGAGAAGAATCTTGGAAAGCCTTACTCATTTATTTTGTTTTATATCTTCTGTCAGTTGGGATCTTCAGGACCCCGTGTGGAGCCTTTCCACGGACCTGCCAAGGAATTCCATAGGGAAGGTTTTTTTTTTTCTTTCTTTTTCCTGGAGGGACACTTCTCGCGAAGGTATGATTTGAATCAACACGATTTTTTCTGACCCATGGCATCGGGTAGAAGAGAGAGAGAAAAGAGACAAGACAGACAGACAGACCACAGACAGACCAGACAGACAGACAATAGACAGAGAGGAGAAGAGCGGGGGGGGGGGGGGGTGAGTGAGAGTGAGACACAGAGAGAGAAAGAAACAAACGATTGAAAGAAATGACAGAAAGAGAGACAGAAAGTTAGGGAGAGAGGAAAGCCAAGAGCGAAGGAAAGGAAAGAAAGAAAAAAAGAAAGAAGGAGCAGGTAAACGGCCCATGATTTAGATGCTGTCTGATAACCCAGGGTTTGTTATGGGCCCCTGAGTGATGATGCGTCGAATCACACTTGGTGGGGGCGTGGGAGCGAGATCACGTGGCCCGCCTCGAAGCCGTTCTGTAACTCGCTGGCTCCCGGCTCGCTTGGGGCTTTCGTGGGGCGCCCCTAGGGAAACAGGGCTACGGCCACGAGAAGGAAATATGAAACACCTCTTACATGGAGGCGCTATGTCCCGCGTGAAAGGGTGGCGTGCGGCCAGTTTCCATGCCCGCCACAATGCCAGGACAGCCGATTGGCCTCTAAGGGAAGCGGATGGAACAACACGGCTCCCGAGCGCGGGGTTCAGCCACACACATCCGCGCCGCTGTAAATTACAAGACAAAGGGCGCGGAGTTCATTATCGCAACGTAAGGCTTTTTCACCCAGCCACCAGTTGGGATGTAAATAATAGCAAGTGGCCAGGCGCGCTGCTGACCCCAACGCCGAGGGCAACCGCGCTCGCCCTCGCCCGGGACCCTCGCTCGCTGGCTCTCCGGGTCCTTAAGAGCGTTGGTACTTGGAAACGGTCATTTGGTGGCACCTCCCTTTGCTATATGTATATGTATAAATGAATAGAGAGATGGAAAGAGAGATGGGATATTTTGATGTATATATAGATATTGAGAAATAGAGTGACAGGTTTATAGATGTACAGATAGATAGATACGAATCACACACATGTGTTTGTGTATTATATCTGAAATTATTACTATTAGTAATAATTTATTTGTATTTTTTGTATTTAATTGTGAGAGCTCTATAACAGCTCCTACGTGTACTACAGGGCGCCCATCCCTACCTTGCTCTTTGCAAACGCCCTTGATTTTATTCCGTCTCTGATCACCTTGCTCTCCTTATCTTGGTGTATAACCCCTGATTCTTATGTAAATCAGCACACTCTGCCTTGCCTTTTGCGTCCAAACGTTTGCTTAGAACTCCGAACGTTTCGAGCGCCTGTGGTAAAACGTGCATCAGGTGACTGAGACACGGCGGAGTCGCTCGCTAAAACCGTCGATCCGATTCCTTGGCGACAGTTCTCAGATTTTGCTTTGGCGTGACACATTTATGCCAGATTTTCGCAAGCTCATTCTAGCGGCTTCCTCGTAAAGCTGTGGTTGAATAGAGTTGACGTTAAACGGATTGCATATAAAAAGATAATTAGATGTAGACCAGAAAGTCACAGTCGGAAATTAGATATCGGGAAACGAATAGGTAGGGGCAAAAACATGCGTTCCCCCCTCTCTCCTCTCATCTCTCTCTCTCTCTCTTCTCTCTCTCTCTCTCTCTCTCTCTCTCTCTCCTCTCTCTCTCTCTCTCCTTCCTCTCTCTCTCTCCTCTCTTCTCGCTCTCTTCTCTAATAAATGTTACGGTTTACAGATTAATTTTCTTTTATTACTATTTTGTTATATTTTTTAATTTACTCTAACTTTTTTTTAATTATTGTTGACCTTATTAATTTTTTTAATTTTTTAATCTTTATATTTAAATTTATTTTTAGATTTAATATTTATTTTATATTTTTTTTTTAGATTTTTATATCTTTTTATTGCACATAACAACGTTGTGCCGTGCAGTGCGTGCGATGAAATTCCTTCGGCCTGCTACTCCGCGACCCGCACGTCCGCGCCAGAGAATCCGGCACGGCGCTATTTATTGCACCTAAAATCCATACGAGCCAGAATTCTTCGATGTCGACCGCTGGCAGCATGAGCCGATAAGAGTGACATTCCACTGGAGTGAGTGGGAAGAAAAAGAAGAACGACGAAAGAAAGAGAAGAGAATAAGAGAGAGAAAGAAACGACAACGAAAAGATGATAAAAAAAATAAAATCGAAAATCCGGAAACATTCAAGCGTGCGCCCCCCGAGAAGAAAAAGCTCCGAGGGCGATTAAAGGCTGATTGTCATGCCACAAATGGAGATAGACCAGCAGGGGTATTGGCCAATAGATAAAGATGCCAAATGTAACTGCTGCTCGACGGATCAAAGCAGGGTGGGATGGGAACGAGGAGGAGCCGTTCAGTCGGATTCCTTGCCTGAAAGGCAGGCAGCCTTCTCGGGCATGAAAGAGCTCGCGAGAGTCGCCGGTAAGCGAGGCGCGGACTCCGAGTGCTCCGCGGACCGCGACACAAGGACGCCTCATTGTGCGCATGGTGGTCGATGGATCCGCGACCAGGTTGTATCTCTTCACAGTATAGGACACGGCACTTGACTTCATCAGTAGACGCTACTACGGCCCTTGCCTATCTTCCGAAGCCTGCATTACGCTTCCGCAAATAGATAGGCTCCATATCATTGATATGATTCCTATCCGAGATTAGGTAAGCGTCTTAACCGACAGAGCTTGGGGACAGGTACGGGCGGCAGATAGGGGCGCGCAAGCTCGTCGGGTCCGGGATGTGATCTCTCGGCTCGACAGGTTCACTGAGTCTACTCGACGAGATACACCAACCGAGATAGGCAAAGTCTCTCCGCCCTGCTATCGATCTCTCTAGGTGATCGTTTTTTCGGTCACCGAAGGCTAACGGGTGAGTAGGCCACCGACAGCAAGCTACATGCGATCCGGGGGCCGTTGCGAGAACAAGAGGGCCAAGAGCCTCGGGAGAAGGCAATGACAAGAGAAAAACAACGGAGGGATCCGAGGCCTCACACATAGACAGCGCCCAGACGCCTGGTCGAGGAAGACACGCTACCCACCCTGCGTCTGTTATCGACATGACCGATACACGAGCGAGAGTGCAGTTGGTATCGGGCGAGGGACGCCGGGCAAGTGTGGACGAAGTTAGGAGGAGCTTATGGGAAGTGAGAGAGAAAGGGGGAAGGTGACGGGCAGAGCAAGAGAGGACGGAGGGGAAGGGAGAAAGGAGCCACAGGTGGGGAAAATGTTCTCCAAGGGTTGGAGGCATGCTGAGCGTTTGTGCCGGGGCGAGGAAGGGGGTAGCGGGATCGCACGCTGACGTTTTCCTTCCCTTGTACTTAGAGCGCGATTTGCACTTTTCACGTCTTCAGCTTTTTACGTCTTGCGTCAGTTTACCTGAGCGACGTGGTTCGTCGGTCAGTCAGAACGCGTATGCAATGATTGCCAGGGGACAAAATCGCAAGCCGGGTTATCCTGCTGCCTCTGCCCCCGACGCGCTCCCCCGAATCGCGCTGGCAGTCTTGCTTCTTTTCGCGTTTTCATTAAGCTTATATGGCTTCAGCGAAATCAGCTTATTTGTTGTTTGTTTGTTTTTTGCAGTGTTGGTATTCAGAAACCATCCCTTTCCACAAGACAAAGCCCTGCTCCCGCGGGGGCAGTCGCATGCGGCGTCCTGCGTAGCGAGTCCGCGGTTATTGCTTCTCGCGGCCAGTCGCTCACCAAAGGCCGTCGTTTCCCATCGTCCATATTGTCGTCCGCCCTCCCTCGCTCGCCCAACACCCGGCCATCAGAAGCAGTGCCTGGGGCGGACCAGGGGCGTGGAGGGAGAGCTGTGCCTCTACAAAGGGGGTCAATTATCGAGAACAGGACGAGCTCACCGCCCTCCAGGCCTTCCCCTTTGGGTGGCACACGCCCCTCGCCGCCACGCCCATCGCCCGACAGAGGGTGGTTCACACGCCGATGGCCCTTACACGACTTGTTATCTCTATAGATTATCCTATCTACTGTTCTAATATATCTGTGTGTCTATTTATCTATCAATCTAATCTCTATCCTTGTCTCTCAATCTTCCTCGGTCTCTGCCGCTATATACTCGCCTGCTTCTCTGCTATTCCTTGCACTCTCACTTTTTAAACGAACTTACCTTCGTTCCGGCTAACCGGTCCTGCCCGTGCGTCATCCCCTTATTGTTAATGTTTGAACAGTTACGCTGCAGGGACTTTTAACCCAGAGTTCCCTCGGCCGCACCTCGTTCTGCTCTCCTTCTCCTTCCCTCCCCTCCCTTCTCTCCTCCTCTTCCCACTTCCTTGCAGCTCCATCTCCCTCCTCTGCCCCATCCTTCCCTCCTGACACCCTCCTCTTTCTCCTTCGCTTGCCTCCTCGGGACCCTGCCTCTTTCCCTCCTTCCTCCCCGCTTCTTTCGCCCTTCCTTTACCCCGACCCTCCCCCTCTCTTACCTTTATCCTATTCATTTACTTCACCCGCCTCTTCCCCTTCTTTACCACTGTTTCCTCCCCTCCTCTTTCCCCTTCCTTTTCCATCATCTCTCTCGCCTATCTTCCTTTCCCTTCCCTTACTCCCCTCCTCTTCCCCTTCCTTTCCATCCTCCCTCCCCTCTCTTCCTTTCCCTTCCCTTCCCTTCTCTTCCCCTTCCTTCTCTTCTCCCCTCCTCCTTTCCCCTTCCTTTCCACCCTCCTTTCCCCCCCTCCCACATTTTCCTTTTTCGAGCTCTTCACACACCCCGTGAGTCACCCCGAGCTCCCCCGGGGCTGAGGTCGCGTTAACACGACTCGCGGTGTAACTAAGCAATATTTACTAGCACGAAGCGAGATTCGGTACAAGAGCGCTCCTGAAGGCAACATGTGCGTGCCGGCAGTCCTGTTGCGGCCGCTCTCATAGGGTGTTTGTCAACCTCCCTTGCAACTCGCACACTGCAAAGAAAATGAGCGGATGCCAACCGTTGAATGCCAGTGTAAGCTTGACTGTAATGATTTTTAATGTCGTTTGCGGGGCATCGGGATTCAAAACAGATCCGATCCCCTAGAGAGAGAGAAAAATAATAATCACACACAAGTAGATTTACATTTACCTGTACATTTACCTTTATATTTTAGTCCATGCACTGTGCACTCTTAATTTTCTGAGTTATGTATTTTTTGTATTTTAATATTGGAGAAGTATTTACGTGGTCGCTCTCGGGCCCCGCAGGAATCTCGGTCTCCAGGGCTACGAAGTATGGCGGAACCCTCAGATCTACCTGATCGGCGCGCAGCCCCTCTGCACCCAGATCGCCGGCCTCTCCCCCGGCCAGACCAAGCTGTGCCAGCTGTACCAGGACCACATGGGCAGCGTTGGCCGCGGCGCCAAGACTGGCATCCATGAGTGCCAGTGGCAATTCCGACACAGACGCTGGAACTGCTCCACTGTTGACGACTCCACCGTGTTCGGACCCGTCCTGCAGATCCGTAAGTTCGCTGATGAGAGGTTTCTAGTGTGGGTGCTTGGCTGCTGGGTCCATTTTTTGCCTTTTTCTTGTCTTCGTTCAGTTTTCCTTCCCTCTTTTTACTTCCACTCCTGACCTTTCCCGTTGAATTTAATTTACCTCACCCTTTCTCTCTCTCTCTCTCTCTCTCTCTCTCTCTCTCTCCTCGCTCTCTCTCTCTCTCTCTCTCTCTCTCTCTCTCTCTCCCTCTCTCTCTCTTCGTCTCTCTCTCTCTCTTCTCTTTTCTCTTTCTCTTTCTCTCTCTTTCTCTTTCTTTCTCTCTCTCTCTCTCTCTCTCGTCTCTCCTCTCTCTCTCTCTCTCTCTCTCTCTCTCTCTCTTCTCTCTCTCTCTACCTCTCTGCTCTCGCTCCCTCGCTCTCTCTCTCTCTTTTCGTATTTTCTCTCTCATTTTTCTCTTTTATCTCTCTCCTTTTTTTCTCCCTCTCACTTTTCTTCTCTTTTTTTCTCTCTTTCTTCATTCTTTTTTTCTCTCTCTCACACTTCTCTTTTTTCTCTCTCTCACACTTTTCTTTTTTTTCTCTCTCACTCTTTTCTTCTCTTTTCCTCCTCCACACTTTTCTTCTCTTTTTTTCTCTCTCTGCTTTTTCTTCTTTTTTCTCTCTCACCACTTTTCTTCTTTTTCTCTCCTCACACTTCACTCTTCTTCTTCTTCTCTCACATTTCTTCTCTTTTTTCTCCTCTCAAACTTTCTTCTCTTTTCTCGCTCTCACACTTTCTTCTCTTTTCTCTCACACTTCTCCTCCTCTCTCTTTTTTCTCTTTTTTCCTCTCACTTTTCTGTCGCTTTTTCTCTCACTTTTTCTCGTCTCTTCACACTTTTCGTCTCTTTTGCTCCTCCCACACTTTCTCTCTTTTCTCTCTCTCACACTTTCCTCTCTTTCTCCTCTCACACTTTCTCTCTTCTGTCTCTCTCTTCACACTTTCTCCTTTTTCTCTCTCTCACACTTTTCTTCTCTTTTCTCTCTTCACTTTCTTCTCTTTTCTCTCTCTCACACTTTTCTTCTTTTTTTTCTCCTCTCACATTCTCTTTTTTTCTCTCCTCACACTTTTCTTTCTTTTTTCTCTTTTTTTCTCTTTTTTTTCTCTCTCTCTCACACTTTGTCTCTCTCTCTTTTTCTCCTCACACTTTCTTCTCTTTTTTCTCTCTCACTTTTCTTCTCTTTGTCTCTCTCTCACACTTTTCTTCTCTTTTTCTCTCTCTCACACTTTTCTTCTCTTTTTTCTCTCTTCACACTTTTCTTCTCTTTTTCTCTCTCTCACACTTTTCTTCTCTTTTTCTCTCTCACACTTTTCTTCTCTTTTTCTCTCTCTTCTTCTCTTTTCTTCTCACACTTTCTTCTCTTTTTCTCTCTCACACTTTTCTTCTCTTTTTTCTCTCTCTCAACTTTTCTTCTCTTTTTCTCTCTCTCACACTTTCCTTCTCTTTGTCTCTCTCTCACACTTTTCTTCTCTTTTTCTCTCTCTCACACTTTTCTTCTCTTTTTCTCTCTCTCACAACTTTTTTCTTCTCTTTTCTCTTCTCTCTCACACTTTCTTCTCTTTTTCTCTCTCTCACACTTTTTTCTTCTCTTTTTCTCTCTCTCACACTTTTCTTCTCTCTTTTTCTCTCTCACACTTTTCTTCTCTTTTTCTCTCTCACTTTTCTTCTCTTTTTTCTCTCACACTTTTCTTCTTTTCTCTCTCTCTTTCTTCTCTCTCTCTCTCACACTTATCTTCTCTTTTCTCTCTCTCACACTTTTCTTCTTTTTCTGTTTTCTTTCTCTCTCTTTCTCCCCCCCTCCCTCTCTCTCTCTTTTCTCTTTTTCCTTCTCTCTCTTCTCTCCTCTTCTCTCTCTCTCTCTCTCTCTCTCTCTCTCTCTCTCTCTCTCTCTCTCTCTCTCTCTCTCTCTCTCTCTCTCTCTCTCTCTCTCTCTCTCTCTCTCTCTCTCTCCCCTCTCTCTCCCCTCTCCCTCTCCCTCTCTCCCTCTCTCCCTCTCTCTCCCTCTCTCTCCCTCTTCTATCTTTCTCTTTTCACTTAACATTCTCTTCCATTGACTCCCTCATCTTGTCACCTACTTCTACCTATCGCCCTTCTCTTTCAGCGAGTCGAGAAGCCGCCTTCGCCCACGCCATCGCCTCGGCGGGCGTCGTAAATAGCGTGTCGCGAGCGTGCAGGGACGGCCAGCTGTCCACGTGTGGGTGCTCGCCCGCCCGCAGACCAAAGGACCTCAACAAGGAGTGGATCTGGGGCGGATGCGGAGACAACGTCGAGTATGGATACAAGTGAGTATCGTAATGCTGGCATGGAGTCAAGAATGCGTTTTGTGAAATGGCAATATAAATTATTACACGGTAATGATCTTGTTGATATGGAAATATTTTCGTGGATTCTTTTGCGTATTCCGGTTTAGAGCATTCATGCTAATCTAGTCTCATTAGAATCCTGGAGTTGTTCTAAATTTGATAAAATATTGTGCATATGCATTATTCGTTTACCCAACTACTTTCTATGTAAAGAAAATGCAACCTTTACCAAGGAGCATATTTCATGGAGAAATAGGTTTTCTTCTATGTTTTATATGTTGTGGTTATTACGTTATCATATCACTTGGAAAAATATTCGACAAAATTTTCCGAACTAACCGCCTCAACCCTCCCGCAGATTCACCCAGGGCTTCGTGGACGTCCGCGAGCGGGAGAAGAACTACAAGCGGGGCTCCCCCAAGCAAGGCCGCCAGCTGATGAACCTGCACAACAACGAGGCGGGGAGAAGGGTAAGGTCACAGTCCTTAGGCAAAAGGTCGACTTATTCGCGACTGAAATTGATGTCGAACTTCAAGGAAGGTCGGAGGTCCTATTCGTTTGTTGATGAATTGGAAATGTTTTGGGTAGTAGTTATCCAAGACTAAAATTTGAATTCCTCATGGAAAAGTGCTGTGTCTATTCTTTACATCATAATATTATCTCAAGAAAGTAGACAACTTTATTAAAATTAAATGGTTACCGTTAATACCGTATAAAGAACCTATTTCTATTATAAATAAAAAGCTTCTTAACCAGATTATGATATAGCTATTACCTCCCCCCGAACAGGCTGTGATCCGTAGAACGCGGGTCAATTGCAAATGCCACGGTGTATCAGGATCCTGCTCTCTGATCACGTGCTGGCAACAACTGGCACCCTTCAGGGAAGTCGGTATGTATACGAGTTGCGGCCCTTAACATTATTTCCAGCAAATGCGTTGCGGTAAGCTTAACTGCGGTGGGCGGAACGTTTGCTGATTGGTTTGTTAAGAGGGATGTTTCGGCCTTGCGGGATTGCGAGGGAGTGGCGTGTCGAAAGGGTTAACAGGGTGTGTTTGGAGGACCAGAGAATAATGAGGAAATGTGAAAGGAAAGATGGATGAGAGTAGAGAGAGGAATGGATGTTGTTTTGAAAATGTGTTTGACCTGAAGGAAATGAGTGTGTGCCGACCGGAGATCACGAGATAAGAAAACTAGAAAGACCCCGGGAAATTTAGATGATATCAATAACAAGCGCTAAAATGGATGTTTGAGGATGAAATTGATATTCTTATGGTTCTGAACAAGCATAGGATTGAGATTGAGTATACGTTCCAGCTGGTTAGCTGTACAGAAAAATATTAAACTGTCGAAAGGCGAATACATTATTGAAGGTTTAGTATAATCAGACATTAGATGTAATATAACATTGAATGCCTAAGGTCATCATATATCATATGTGGCGTCAAATGGATAAATGTGAACCTGGGCGAGTTGGCGCACAAAACTTAATAATTGGTAGGCAATGGTCCGACGCTTAGCAGACTATACTCAAAATAAACAGTAACGTCTGTAATGCCCCATAATAACTGAAGTGATACTAGATGAAATTACTTAAATATATTTACGCTTATTTATTTTATTTTAGCTTCAGTGTGCAGACAACAATAATTGCTCATTCATTTAATTCTTCACTTGGAGAATACGAGAAGGGTGTGCATGCTTGTATGTGCGTGTGCATGGTTATTTGAGCTTTTTGGATAAGCTTGTGTTCCTCCATAAATAAAACCATTTTTAAATATCACGATGTTTAATTGTTTGAGAGATTGTTGGTTATACACACAATGGCTAATGTTACTTTCTCACACCAGGTGATCTCTTGAAGGACAAATACGACGGAGCAACAGAGGTAAAAATCAATCGCCGAGGAAAACTTCAAGTCAAACACCCCCAGTTTAATGTCCCAACTGCCGAAGACCTGGTCTACTTGGACGAATCTCCCGACTACTGCAGGCGCAATAATACAGTTGGATCTCTAGGTATTGTATAATGCAGGGATATTTTCTAACACATTACAAAGGTTAAATATCTTTTGTGAAATGTTCATTTGGTAGCTTCTTTTCATGTAATTAATATTGCGGTACTTTATTAACAATTTTACAATTAATTTAGATTAAAAAGCAACTTCATTATATCATACTACACTTGCTAATTCACAAGTAAAATTAGTAAAATCTTTCACTTTATACGGAAATGCAATTTGACCTTTGAATTTGCAGGAACACAGGACAGGATTTGCAACAAGAGTTCCCAAGGTATGGATGGCTGTGGACTCTTATGCTGCGGTCGAGGTTACAATTCTCAAAAGGTGAAACTACACGAAAGGTGCCACTGCAAGTTCCACTGGTGTTGCTACGTGGAGTGCAAAACGTGTACCAGAATCGTAGACCTTCACACATGCAAATAAAATTTTAAGAAAATGAAATATCAGTAAAGTAATACTTATATTGAGTATTACAGCCAGAAACTGTATGGCTCTTTGAAAGTGAAGATCTAATGTGAACTTCTGTGCCCTCCATAATAATAATAATAATTGTAATACTGGTGTGAAATTCACTATTTGACATTACATATATAAAGACTAAGAGAGACGAAAGAGATGAAAATCCTCTGAAGAATGTGGAAATGGCTACATTGGTGAATTACAGAACCATTGAAGTACTTAATATTGCTCTGAACCAAAGCACAAACAGCTGGTTTATTGTGCTGTGAAAAATAAATGCAACAAACAATTGGTGAAGTACATTTTACCCAGTGGTTTTCATAGTCTCCAAAAATAATTAAAAAAAATAATAATAATAAAAAAAAAAATGCATTTAACATTGGTGTCTGAACCTTCTTTTTTGAAGCAAGACTTTGAACTTTTAGAACAAGTGGTTAAGGTACAGACACCGAAATAATAGATGTCAATCAGTGTTACATTTATAGACAGTGAAACAGTGAATTAGCAAAAATAAGTTGGCAGAATAGTTACCTATCAATCAATAAGTATCTTGTAGGGACTGCAGCTTTCAGTGTTCCAATATGTGCAATGTTTATGGCAAGTTTGAGAGTTGACAAAAGCCTAGCTGATAAATTCCCTTATTGTTCATAAATACATCATATAATAAAGGAATGGTTTGGTTGTTGTAACTGATGTACACAAGTATTTAGTAAATTTTAAATATACTAATTTCTTAGTCAGTGGCAGCTTTTATCTATTGTACAGTGTGTATGTAAATAACGTATATAAAGGTAGTTTTATTGTAGAGAATCTTGTATTGTCAAGTAGTTTGCAAGTTCATAATCTCTGTAGGTGTAATAGAGAATTCTTGTAGACCAGCTGTAGATCTGTGCTATGTGTTTTCCCATTTCATTATGCTATGGATTGCATTATTCACCTTTCTGTGAAATGATTAAATTAGTTGCCATATTTAAATAAGAGTACAGGAAGTTGCCATTTGTGTACTTAAGAAAAACTCAGTTACTGGGTTGTTCTCAATGCAATGGGAATTGGATTAGTCCTTTACCTGAGGTGTACCTTGTATGGTAGTGTTAGATTTGAAGGTTTGTAGACTTGGGACGTTTGCAACCATTTTGACATTAACAATTTCTGCACCTAAGATCTTGTCCCATTTGAGTTTCTTAGTAGAAGCAATGTAGTCGAGGTAAAATGCAATAGTTTACCTCATGCATTCAAGTTAAAATCACTTTGTGCACAGATGAAGAACGAACTTGAGCCATGAGGGATATCCTCTTGTGCAGATAAATTTCTGTCATCAATATTGAGGTCATGTTCAACCTCCAGACCTACTGACAAAGTACATAGCATGTAGTGCATATTTTGTAGCATATACAGTATATATAAATACATATATATATAAATATATATACGGGTGATATTCCCAGGGCTGTTAATACATGACCCATGGGAAGCTTACACCAGGTATAAAAACTTTCTTTTCATTTAAGACATATTGTCCATTTTCTATTGTAGATACACATGAATGGTGCTTGTCCCACAATCTGCAAAATTGGTAATGGGAACACAATACCACAATCAAATTTATAAAAGGTGGTTTCAGCCAGCATAATTTGAATTTACCAGGGGATCATACTATTTGACATACTACATATATTTTCCTTTCCCTGTCTTTAATCTTAATAAAATTAATGTACTATTTTGTGTAATATGAGCCAAATGTAATGAAATGTTTATTAGCTAAATAATATAAAAGTGTACAATAAGCAAATGTTTTTCAGTACCTTCTTATTTTTTCTACATTTTAGAATAAGGGCTCCTAAACAAACATCCAATACCAAGTTTCACTTTAATATTCCATATTGCATTATAAATACACAGACTGTTATACAAGTAATGCTGCAATTAATACAGTATTACTAATTAAATAATTTAACAACCAGAAAAAAAAATGTTTTGCTTTACATGTGGTGATAAATATATGTCTGATATTTTCATTTTCTTTTTTGGCATAATTTCTAGGTACAATTATCACACAACAAATGGAGAAATTGTATTGGCTTAATGTTTCTTTTACCAAAAAGTATTCCATTATTGTAATTCCCTCTCACATCTTGCTTGAACCTTCTCTATTTTGAAATTAAACAAATGATTTTTCAAAAATGATATTCCAACCTAATACTACAAACATCAATATATATACACATTTCAAGCTATGGAGGAGATTAGACAAAGAAAATAAAGCAGACAGGAGCACAAAAGGCAGTTTTCCTTAGATAAAAACATCAAGACAGGTCTTCAAAACTGTTGTTCCTTTGTAAAATTCATACAGTCTTGCCTATCAGCAATGCTAGAACCACTGTACATTGGAAAAAGAGAAGCAACAAGTTTTAATACATCCTTTACTAAAGACAATCACTCCAGAAGCTTACGTGGTTTACATTACAAAAAAAAAGTAATTAAGGCTGGAAAATGGCTTAGCACTTATGCCTTATGAATAAAGATATACTAATGAGTAAAGATATACTAAACTTTACTTTTTATATATATAGATAAAAAAAAAATCTAGTTTTATTTACTTGCACTCCCATATGACAGCAACCTAAACAGTCAATGTCACTGAAAATACCAGAGAACTTACAAAGCTAACCTCAAAGGTATACACATGGTACACTAAATATAGATCTCAAAAGGAGTCCTCACAAACTCCATTTAGGGTAAACATCATGCATTTCTGAATAGTCCAAAAATAAAAGATAATAATTGACTATTATTAATACAGGATACAGAAACAACAAAAATTGAGATTACACTTTATATAAAATATCAATTTAAAAAGATTTAATTTCCCTATGATAAAGTAGAAAAAGTTACAGGAGGGAAGCAGACACGGGAACAAAAAATAGGGCCAAAATAAAACAGCGTCTTGCAAAACAAATTTCCAATTTCCTTTGTTAAATTTAATTCAAGAAAACAAAAAACAATAAACATTCACTTAAAAAATGATATGCAGTGAAAGCAATCACTACAAAAAGCAAGTGTATTTGTTTTTTGGTATCACTTTATATGAATCTCTTCGATTAAGATTTCCTGAATAATTTTTAAATAAATTCCTGATTATCAACAAGATATCAAAATACTCTGAACCTCAGTTTGCTGTATGTAAACACAATATCAATCTGATTCTACAGCAATAAAGAACATCCCATGTTGGGACACCAACAACTGTATGATGGGCATAAAAAAAAAAAGCTAATAGTTTATATCTACTTTATGCTAGCATCTGCTATCCTTGTAATAAAGGTAACTGGCCAGCATTCTCATAGCTGAAAGGAAAATATATCCTGCATCAATAAAAAGCTACTTATATATAATTTAAAACCTATTTTCTAAAAGACAATATTTATTTAAATACAATGATATCAACTTCATCACATACAATTTATGACAACTGACTTCTTTATCTTCCAGTACAATAATTACAAACTTTCAATCTCTTGTTCAAAAACTTAAATAAAAATTAATATCTACTTACTGCATCTATGTCAGCTGCTGCATCCTCTTCCTCTTCTGAGTAATCATCGAACTCAATATCGTCATCCATGCCGTCTTCTACGAAGGTAGCATTCTCGTTCACCTTGACTGGAGAAAAAGGGAAAGTAAAA